CAAGGGAACGACACCCTACTTCCTTGCCCCTACCACCTGTGGTGAGCGAGGGAGTTGACTCTCCCCCTTACCAGCTGCAGCCCCCACCTGGGCAGCACAGCAGAGCTGACCCTGACAGCCCAGGTGTAGGAGCTAACCCTGAGGGTGTGAACGCAGGAGAACTAGCCTCACCCCTTGCTTATTGCAGGAAGGGGTGAACTAGCTGGGGCAATGCTGGAGAGCTCACCCTGGTGGTGAGGTCAAGGGAGAGCTGGTGGGATGACCAACGTGGCACCTACCCAGGACCAGAACCAGGGTTATGAGTTGGCCTACCCCAACCACCACCCCATCTGTAATTGCTGAAGCATATGAAGGGACTGGTGGAAATCCAAAGCTGCAGGATCTCCACAACACAGGGCAACAACAGGATACCCAAGAGGAGTCCCAGCTAGCACCCAGCAACAATAGTGTAGCAGAAACCAGAGGACTCGAAGCAGACCAGTAACACATTCAGGTGAAGATACAGGGACAAAACCGTTTACTGCGTGACTCACTGTGCCACACCGCAGCTTCCATGGCGAGGTTTTTCCTCTTTGCCATTTTTTTCCTCTTAAATTTTTATTTTATCGGGGAGAGGGGTTGCAAGAGTAGAGGGCAGATGCGAAGGGACGGGGAAATGAATGGGATTGAGAGGCATGATGTGACAGACACAAAGAATGAATAAAAAGAAAGTAAGAAAAAAATACACACCAATCTTGGTCTAAAGACAAGAACACCTTGTCTTTAGTGAGAGAAGCTGCCGCCTAGGGCCGAAGTCGTAGTTCAGAACAGTGCCTAGTGCGTGGAAGGCCAAGGGTCCTGGGTTTCATACCCATCATGGCAAAAGTGGGAGGGTCACCCTTGGCTAGGACTAGGGTGCAATGAGACATGCGGCCAAGGGGTGACATTTTAGAAAGCATTAGTCTGAAAGTTCCCCAAGAGTAATGGTACCCCAGTAGTCAGCCTTTGTTGTTGTGCCCAAGGCATCTATGCCAGGCCTGGCTCGGGCAAAGGGAAACAGTGCTGGTAGCACTGTTTGCTCAGTGGTCATGGCTCCTCTTCAAACTCGGCTTCTGACATCCTTTCCATCTGGGAGTCTCTCTGCCCTCTGTGTGTTTGTGGAAAGAACACTCGTCTCCCACTACAGAAGGTGCTAAAGACTTTGACCTGACTGCCCCACACTTTTAATCCAGCACTCAGGAGGCTGAGGCAGGTGGGTCTTTGTGAGTTCAAGACCAGCCTCCTAGGACAGCCAGGGCCCTGGAAGCTAACCACCACTGCCGCTAACATTCAGAGCTCACCTTCCTGACTCCTCGGCGTCTCTGCTGCTGGTCCCTCTCCTTCCCTAGTGTCCCCCTGGCTTACGTCCCTCATGAGCATAGTTTAGACCCAGTGCCAGAGACACAGACTCCTAACTGCACATCTTCCAATTCATTTTGGACATTTTCAAGCTTTGAAAGTCTAAGGCTCAGATTGCTTACCCAGAATTGAAGTCAAGGCCACCCCCCCACCCCCGTCTTTTGTGTCTGGAGTGGACACAGAGTAATTGTTGGGGCCCCGTGGAAGATGGGAGACAGTGATGCTAACATTTTATCTGGGCGCATTCCGAAGGTTATCACTTCCTTACACTCCCTGGCCCTCTGGCCAGGTCTCCCGTGGCTTCCTATCACTTCAGCCTCCCCATCCGGAGACTTCACTCCTTAATCCTTCCTTTGTCTTGTTCCCCAGAATCAGCCACTGACCTCCTGGGGCAGATAATGCTTCCCTCTTCTAGGGGTCGACTTTTCTAACTCATACCCACAAAAACTGCGCGGCCACTGTAAAAGCAAATAGAAAAAATAGAGAAGCAGACAATCAACTTATATCCAGTTACCTGTAGGCCCAGGACAAAGATGCTGGGGAGGGGAAGGGCTTGAGAGTTCCTGTCCTAAAACAAGTCATCTCACGTGTCTGGTTGTTTTGCGACAATGTCTCAGTAGCCCTGTTGGCCTCAAATTCCTGATCTTCCTGCCTCTACCTCCCAAGGGCTACCACCACATCCAGCAAAACAAGCATTTTAAAATAAGCTCCATAACCTTTGAAAAATACTCAAGAAATGGCTGTTAAATAAACACCAACTAGAGATCGCCTCCAGAGTTCTCTCCCGCGTACAGGCATACAGAGCTGGAATTTCAGCCACTCTCGGGGTTTTCGTTATATGGTCATTCTGGGCTCCTAAGCCTAGTGCAGGGTTGCACTCTGGTCCTCTCATGGTTGGATGTGGCCGCGACACTGCTGTTGCTAGTGAGCTATGTAATCACCAAGGTCAGACCAGGTGGCTGACAGGGGAACTCTCCAGAGCTCGCTCTTCTGCTACAGCGTCAGCACCAAACAGCAAAACTCTTCAGTCAGGAAATTACAGGCAAGACAACATGGAGCCACAACCCCAGCTGAGCTGCAAATTGAAGGACAGAAAAGTCTGCTCAAAAGTTAATTTACATTTATTTCTTTGTTGTTTGTTTATGTGCACGCCTGTGCTAAGTTCGAGCATGAAAGCCAGAGGTCCGCCGTGGGAAGTTGCTTCTTGCCTCCTATCGTGTGGATCCTAGGAATCAAACACAGGTCATCAGGCATGGCAAGCACCCTTGGGTTCAGATGCGGGGACTCTTGCAGATAAACTAAACACATTTTGCTTTATGACATGGTCATGAGGCTTTGACGACCAGAGATGGAATGTTGTGGGTTTGGCTGTCAGGTGGATGAGCAGTATACTTGGGAGGGTTAATTTTGAGAGCCAGCTTTACTGGATTAAGGAAGCATGGGGCATTGAGGAGGAATAATGGATGTGTCTCTGACGGAGTCTCCAGAGAGCCTTAACGGAGGCAGAAAGGCTCATCCTGCATGTGAGTGGCGTCATTCCATGGTGTCCCACACTAAAAAACGAGGCAGTTGCCTCGGGGAGAAGGAAGTGAATATCAACACTCACCTCACACTGCTTGTGGACTTTAGAGGCCCTTTGGCCAGTGATGTCTTCCTCTCCATGACTGACTGTCTCCTAAACCCTTTTTTAACCGAGTTGTGCTAACCCTTTCACAATGCAGGTGTCAGTCATCACCACGCCATTCAGTGTAAGTACTCAAGACTTTACTTGACCTTTCGACCTCATTAACCCTTTAAAGACATGTTACGGAATGGCTGAGATTAAAAGCTTGCGCTGCCCCTAATATGTAGTAGATCCAGCTTTCCTGGCTATATATACGGTCATTTCTACACCACTTCTGTGTGTTTCCATTCCATCGGGCCTGACAAGTAACAGAGATGACAGAACACACAAGGGATTTGAGTTTACACTTCCCTGATGGCTAAAGATGTTGGTCATTTTTTTCATGTAATTATTGGTAATTTTTCTTCTTTTTGAGTTATTATATATTCTGGATACAAATCCTCTGTCAGACATCTCTCCGTTCTGTATTAAAAATGGCAATCAGTCAGATGGTGGTGGTGACACAATGCTCAGGAGGCAGAGGCAGCAGATCTCTGTAAGTTCAAGGCCAGACTGGTCTAAAAAGTGAGTTCCAGGACAGCTAGGGCTATTACACAGAGAAACCCTGTCTTGAACATCGCCTCCCCCAAAAGAAAATGCAATCATTGAAGAAAAATAAAAATCCTGGAGAGGGTGAAAGGGAAACAGAATTCTTAAATCCTGCTTCTGAGAATATAAATTACATTTTCATTGAAATACATATGAAACTACTGCAAACAGTTATAAATAGAGCTGAAAAAAACATCCTAGAGAGCTGGAGAGATGGCTCAGCGGTTAAGAGCACTGCCTGCTCTTCCAAAGGTCCTGAGTTCAATTCCCAGCAACCACATGGTGGCTCACAAGCATCTATAATAAGATCTGGTACCCTCTTCTGGCCTGCAGGCATACTGTACACATAATAAATAAATATTTTTAAAAAATCCTAGTCCTGAGCACAGTCCGAAGGAAGACAGATCAGCAAGTGTTACTGCTTCCTGCGTATCTGTGGTTATCACAGCCCTGCACTCGGTAGCCCAGTCACGAAGACATCGTAGGAATGAATGAAGAGTATGTGGACTGGCCGGGTCTAGTGACTCATACTGGCAATCACCACTCCTTGGAGGCTGAAGCAGGAGGCGTGCCATAAGTTCAAGGCACCTTGAATTGCAGAGTGAGTTCCAGGGTAGCCCGAACTCACTTACAGAGTAAGACCTTATGTCAGAAACCAAATGTAAGGAAGTGGGGGTGGGGCTGTGGACTACATAGAAAATGAAGTGTTTGTCAATCATGAGGATCAAACCATTCCATTTAAAGGAGAATGGGAAGCAGGAGAGATTGTCTTGTTAAGTGAAACAACCCAGGCTTGGGAAGACAAGCATGCTTTCTCTCATGTGTGGAATCTTAAGAAGAAAATAAAAATGACGCAAATATTGAAAAGGGATTATTAGGGAAGTAAAAGGGGTTCGGGGAAAAGTGTAAGAAATAAGCGAGGGTGAACATGATCAAAACATACTGTATGCCAGATGAAAATGTCACAATAAAGTCCACTATCTTGCAAATCAATGTGCACTAATAATATATGTAACAAATTAAGCACCTGGGGGTGTGGATAAGTTACACACAAACAGTATAATACTATATGTGAGAGAATTGGGGGTACACATATTTTGGCATTTTCGGGGATTGCAGAACCATAGACCACAAGGAATGATTATACTTACATCATGTCTAGATTACTTATAATTCCTAATACAGTGTAAATGCCATGTATATAGTTCTTGAATATATCGTTTACAAACAACACAAAAAGGTAGCCTGCACCAGTAAAGTTGACACTTGCTCTGAATATGTTTGCCCCGCAGTTTGTTAGCCCCACAGACACGGAGCTCCTAGGAAAGGTGAACTAACCGCACAGATGCACCCTTTACCACATGCCTTCTGCTGACGTCTGGCTATGCACACAAAGACGCAAACACGGAAGTCACACAGTGCTGCTTTAATGAAGCTCGGGAAACAGCCGAGGTCAGACTCCGGGTGGGTCCACCTTCATTTTTGTCACCTCGGGCTTTACAGGGCTAATCCAAATCCTGGGACAGCTGTGGCACCTTCTGGGACTTCACACAGCACATTTTGCCACTCCAGCACAAGATGTAGAACTTTTCGTGCTTGGTGCATTCTTCGCGGCAGGCACCTTGTGATTTCCAGCACCTTTCAGGGTTCCCTAGTCCAGGGTGAAAACAAGGACACCTGAATCAGACTCACGGTTCCAGGTAGAGAGCAGAGAGAAGGCATGGAAGGAGCTGTCACCTCTAGGGGTTTAGGAAGGTCATACCATCCATACCATCTCATTTTCTCTGTGGGCACTGCATCCCAATCTCAGCCTTCATAAACGCTCCCTTGGGAGTGTAGTGGATGGCAAGAGTTAACAGCACAGTGTCTTATGAGACTAACACGAACATCAAAATCTATACCCTGGACTTGAAATCTGTCTGTCTCCCAAATCAGCTGGTAGACCCTGAGATGGTGGCTTCCTTCTTAAGAATCTGTTCCCTCTTTTCTTCAAGAAAATGGAGATGCCTCTGCTGTAGTGTAGAGGGGGTAGCTCTGTTGGGGCTTGCCTAGCATGCTTGAAGCCCTGGGCTCCAGCCCTAGCATAACATAGACTGGGAATGATGGCCACATCTGTAATCTCGGCACTCAAAAGTTGGGGACAGGAGGATCAGGAGTTTAAGGGCATCTTCAATGACACACAGTGAGTTTGAGACCAGCTCCGGCTACATAAGACCCTGTCTCAAAAGAAATGAAAATAAAAATGTAAAATAAAACTAATTATTAATTAATTTGTGCAAAACCATTAATATTAAATAAATCTAGCTGTGAAATGATAGAACCTCATCAAAGATTGAGCAGTCTGAGTTATTTTACGAGGAAAAAACTGAACTAGAAAGAACACATTAGTCAAAAGTGAAAGCTAATGGCGTAAGAGAAAGCAAAGTTGAAAGGATATTGAAATAAAGAAGAAAAGCCCACAACTGGTCAAAACACAGAGAATTAATGGTCATAGGGAGTCTGGCCCAGTTACTATATCTATAGTACCCATCCAGCCAACACTTGGGGGATATTACAGGAGAGAAGAGGAAAGACCGTAGGAGGCAGAGGACCAGGCCACTGGCTGCTGCTGTCTTCTAGACATGGCTGAGATGCTATTCCCATGAAACCCTAACAATATGGCTGCATACAAGCCCTGCATGACCTCACCAATAGATATGGCAGTGTGGATGGGGAAAAGCTCCCCAGGCCCCACCCTCTAGATGAAGAGCCACAAGCAATAATTGGCCGCTGAGAGGGGGAGAATCGGTTTTCTCCAGAGATGAGCTCCCTGATAAGTTACCACAGATGGTCAACTCTAAACACGCAAGCATATGAGCAGTACTGTATGAATGACCACATCCAGTAGAATATAGATATATTCACATACATACATATGAAGGGATCATAAATTCAAGATCGAGTGTTGGGGACACAGTGGGAGTTGGAACGAGGAGAAAAGAGGTGGAAATTACATAAAGCATTGTGCATGAAATTCTCAAAAAATATAAAGTATTTTAATAAAAAACAAGGAAGAATGGATCCTAACCACTAGACCACCAGACACTAGAAATAAAATCGAATAAGAATAAGCCGTGGAAAGTGCCAGCCATTGGTAAGAGATTCAACATACCCAAGGGTGTTGAATTTTACTAAGTAAAACAAAGGAGACACAACAGACACATCAAACTATGTTCAATAACATTTCCTCCAATGGAGAAGTACTTGAGAGGCATGCCAAAAGGGCATAGAGTGTGCCTGAGAGAGCTGAACCAAAACGGGGTGATTGTAGCAACATCACTGGACATTACACAAAAAAAACAAAAATGTTTTGGGCAATCAGGCTGCGCGCGTGCACACACACACACACACACACACACACACACACACACCCCTCTCCATGAGAGGGCAGGGCTAGACTAAAACTTATTGATGATAATGCTTTATGCTAGAATAAAGGTTGGTGTCTTGTATTTAAGATACTCCTGCCTTCCAAGGACAAAGGCCAGCAAGGAACTGTTCACATCTGAAGCTGAACAAATATTGCCTTTCCTACAGACTCTGATGGGGCAAGAGTTCCAGACCAGTAAATCACACAGAGAATTAACTGTTAAATACGCAGTGCCTTATAGAAACACAAACTAAATGACAACTTAAAGTCAGGCCATCAGAGCTCGGTGACAGAGTGCCTGGTCAGCATGAATGACAAAAATATAAAAATAAAATGAGTACATAAAAGACTCAGTGGCCATGTGTTCTGATGAAAGAGCCCTACAGCACACTATGAAGACGGAAGTATACTGAGAACATGAGCAGAAGTTGTCCATGGCTTGAGAACATGTTACCGCAGAGGTGTTTGTGGTAAGAGAGAGTGAAATAAGGAAGTAGGGTATAGTCCCTCTTCCCCAGCAGGCCAGGTGCATAACTCAGTGGCAGATTCCTCCCACCCACAGGGCACTGGGTTCCATCACCACCACTGCGGGAAAAAAAAAAAAGAAAAGAATATAGAGGTAGGTTGTAAATTTGAATCCGAATCTGAAATATCAGTAGGAATCCATGAGTGTTTGATTTTAATAGATTTCCCTCCGTTTATGGACACTGCAAAGCTTAGAGACACTGAGCAGCCAGTAGAAATTAGTAACCAATTCTTGGAAGTTGGAAGCATGGAAACTAGTTTTGATCAGGAAATTACAAAACAAGTGTGAAGCAAGCATTCTGTGACACCAGAGACAGAAGACGCTACCAAGGACAAGAAGGGCTCTATCAGAAAGATCGACTCCTCAGATCAAAGACTCTCACACTGCCCGAGACTAGGAGCTTGGACTGCAATAGGAAGGATGGCAGCAACAGATTTAGCATGCGGCTTAGAACCATTAGTCTAATCTCTGTGAGTTCAAGACCAGACTGGTCTACAAAGTGAATCCCAGGACAGTCAAGGCTATTGCACAGAGAAACCTTGCCTTGAAAATTCAAGTTAAATAAATAAATCATATTTAACTGAGTCTTGATGTATCCACTGTCTCCTGAATCCATCTGCTATTGTGGGCAGAATAAAGGGGGGATTGAAGAAGTCCTGGCGGCCTAGTCATTTCTCCAAGGCAGACTTGTATCACAAATCATAAGAGACAGATGAAATTGGCTTCCAGGTTTATATGTAATCCCTGGACATCTAACTCCCAACTTCTACTAGCAGAATGGAAGTTCCTGGGGACTCTCAGACGAATTACAGAAAATGAAGAAGCTGCTTTTGTTGCACACCAAAATTTCAGTGTGCCCAGCCTTGGCCTTTTAGTCAAATTTATCACGTAAAAATCAAAACCGAGAAAACATAAATGCAAAGGAGTAACCTGACTCGCAGGTTCTAATCCCAAGATCTGAGACTCTTCCCACTGCCCCAGACATCCGGTCACCCACTCAGGCCCTAAATACGCGGCCAGACCCACTCTCCAGCTCTGTCCCGCTGAAGGGCCCTAGGTTACCTGGAATGACCTGGGACAGCAGCAGCAGCAGAGCCATAGCTAACACTGCAGTCCTCATGACTTTGGGAATCCCGAGGCGTTGGCTGTCTGGAAAGGTACTGGGCAGTGGGAGAAAGTTCTGGATCCTTGTATCCAGCTGGCACTCTTGTCCTCAGAGACCTGTGTGTACAGTCTGCCCTGAGCCAGCTGCCTTCCCTGTGGCTAGGCCTCTACACCCACAATACTGACCACATACTCCTACACAGACACTCCCTTTATCCGCTCAATGACCAGCAAGATTAAATCCGATGATCAGGGTAGAAGTATATGTCGGTTTCTGTCAGTTCTGCCCAGAATCCTCTACTCTGGAGGGAAAAGAACTTATGAGCCCCTCCCGCTAAATGAGAAGCTGTTCCCAGTTGAGAGCTGCTGGGGCAGGGGGAGGGGGGTGATCAGTTGTCTTTCAGAGTGTGGTACCTGCTAGATTGACTGTGCTCCGGTGAACGGCTGCACATCCAGGAGTCTATGGGCGGCACAAATAGGATTCATTGGGTTGTTTTTTAAAAGGTGGGGCTGGAGAGATGGCTCAGTGTTTAAGAACACTGAATGCTCTTCCAGAATAACCCACTTGAGCTCCTAGAATCCACATGACAGTCCACAACCGTCCAGTTCCAGCAGATCCCACGCCTTCTTTTGGCCTCTGTGAGCACTGTATGCACGTGACACACAGGCATACATGCAACCAAAACACCCACATACACACAATAATAAAATGTATATTTTTTTAAACAAAGAAGGAAGGACCTGAAGCTGGGAGGACGGTAGGGAGGTGGGAAGTGGATCTAAGAGAAATCAGGGGAAGTAGGGGTGGATACAATCAAATTCATCATATGCGTGTGTAAAATTTTTAAATAATCAACTAAAATATTATATTTAAAATGTTAATATATTTAAAAATCCTCTACACTCCACACTTCTTGCCACGCTCTACAAAGTCCTACATTGGTAGCTTTTCTGGTAAAGCTTTTGCCACACAAGCATGAGGCCCCAAGTATGATCACCAGAATCTACATAATAGAGGCAGAAACGGGGTGTGGTGGTGCACGCCTTTAACCCCAGCACTCAGGAGGCAGAAGCAAGTGGATCTCTGTGAGTTTGAGGCCAGCCAGATCTACATAGGGAGTCCCAGAACAGCCAAGGTTTCATAGTGACACAGCTGTTTCAAAAAAAAAAAAAATCTGAAAGAAAGTCGTGGTGATACATACTTACAACCCCTGTGCTAGGAAAAAGGAGGCAGGCACTCGGAAGCCCTGGTGCTCACTGTCACTGGCCAGCAAGTGAGAGCCCCTGTCTCAAAACACAAGGCTCCACACACACAATCACACAAATCCAAACACTTGTAAACACACACACACTTTGAAGTCTTACATCATCGAGGGTAACTATCCACAGCTATCAGAATTCTAACATAACTTAGATGAGCTAGTTTAAAACAATTTAAGAGATTTAATCCCTCACAGAGATTGGCCTGCCTCTGTCTCTGAGCGCTGGGATTAAAGGTGTTTGCCACCACTGCATGGCAAAATATTCTCTATCAAAGAAATGGGCTCGCAGTTTTCACAAGAACTTTGGCATTGAAGCCAAGAAAGCTAGAGTTGAAATTGTCCAGTCACTGTCCCAGTGTTGTGTTGTGCCACTTAGTTGTGTGACCTTAGAACGAATCACATTCTCTCTCTACGATTCAGTCTCATTAGTGAGCAGATTAGAGCCCAGGACCTGTAAAACTCAACCCAAAACTCAGTAGTCTGGCTCCCTGAACATTCAAAATACACAGAAAATGGAAGTCTATAGAAATCTAAGGCTTTGCCACCAATGTGGAGCAAACTAATTGGGCTTACACCTACAGAGCCTACAGAGTCCCACGGCCATGATCACCAGTCTTCAATCTCTTTACAACCTTCTTAACTACAGACTGCCCTTCATTGCCACTGCTGATAGCAGCCTTAGATCTCGTCCTGGAGTTGGCGTCACAGAATCTTAATGATATGTCCCCACTCAGCCTTAGAACTTCCTGTTACAAGGTGTGTGTGTGGCTAATCTTGGTGGTCAACTCGACACAGTTGAGAAGAGAAAACCTCAGTTAAGGAATTACGTCCATCAGACTGGTCTATGGGCCTGTCTGTAGATCATGTTCTTGAATGTTAATTGACATAGAAGGACCCAGCCCACTGTGGGCAATGTCATCCCTAGGCTGAATAAGTAAGATAGCTAAGGAGAGAGAGAGAGAGAGAGCGAGCCAGTAAGTAGCATTCTCTATGGTCTCTGCTTCAGCTCCTGCCTCCATAGCCCCGCCTTGAATTCCTTCCTTGGTTTCCCTCAATGATGGACTGTAAGGAGTCCTTTCTCCATCCTTCCTGCCAGCTCCCAAATAACCACACAGAGACTTCTTATTAATTAGGAAAGTTCAGTTGATAAGTTAGGCTTATTTTTAGCTAGCTCCTATAATTTAAACTAACCCATATCCATTATGTGGCTCATGGCTTGTCACCTCATCTCCTACATGACTTGCTTCCTCTGCATCTCCTGACATCTCCACCTTTTTTTCCAGCATCCTCTGTGCCTGGAAATCCTGTCTAGCTAATTATTGACCATTCAGCTTTTAATTAAACCAATCACAGTAATATAACTTCACAGTATAATCAAATATCTTGCAATAATGAACTGTGAACCTGAAAGACAAATAAACCCTTCCCAAGTTGTTTTTGGTCATTTTTTTTTATCATAGCTCTGCTATGATAAAAGCTAGCTAGGACAAGGCAGTCTTGCGCTTTCTCCACTCTAGACTCCAGAAGCAGTCTTCATTCCCATTCTCCCAAAAGAGAAGAATTCAGACAGGACACAGCAGTAGAGCAAACAGCTAGGGGTTTCATGAACTCAGCCGAGGAGGTCACAATGCACTCTCTAGGAAAAGGGCCAGCTGAGCCAAACAGCAATGGTGCTGACCCTGGCAGACATGGAGCTTTTATCTCTTTTTGTCACCCTCTCCTCTGTGCCTCCTCTAGGGTGGAAACTTCCAGAAGACCAGTGTGCTCTTCCTGGAAACCCATTTTATCAAAAAATCAGTCTGTTATAAGTAAACACATGATTCAAGAATATGTACAGGACTTAAGGGGTCCCTAAAATTGCAAAGTTTGCTAGGGAGAAGGGTAACAGGTCTGGGCCACCTCTCCTGGTGAGGCAGTCCCTGGAGCTGAATTGAACTGAACCAGACAGAGTCCACCATCTTCAATTGTTCATTGCAACTTGTTGGGGCCTTGAACTGGCCCAGCTGAAGACTGCCACTGCCAGTCTCTACATTTCATTTCCTCGGCCACCATTACCTATCTTTCTGGTCCATCTGAAGTAACCAGGGTGGGAGTTGGGGACTGGTAGTCTTTTCGGACACTAAGCCCTGGCTAACCAACATACTCACTTCTAGGAAGTGAGTCCTGAAATCCTTCAGGGACTACACTGTAAGGCTTTTGTCTCCCTAAGTCCTGTTTATTCCTGCTGGGTAGACTGGATAGATGCTTGGATATTATTAAATTCTTTTACAAGATTTTTCTTTATCCTACAAAAGCCTGAGATGTTACATCCCAGCAATCTCTGAGCCACACAGGGGCTTCCAATGACCTTGGACAATCAACTCTCTCATGATAAAGGGCAGGAGGAAAGAACAGAGCTAAACATCTTTATACATTAATTCTGAGATTACAGCTTGGGAAACAAGTTGCATCCGCTCCCATGAAGAACTAGGGGAGATAACAAATGGTTACATTCTCCTGCAAGTCCAAGGGAAGAAGGAGAAAGGTTCCAGTGGTGTGGCTGAACCAGAGACTCATTGAGTGCAGAGATGGCAGGTTGAGCCCAGAGCTCTAAACCTCCTTATACTGTGCATGGATTTGTTCAAATGAATGAGCTGCCACTGCCTTCTGCACTGTGCATCAGGAATGAAATGGATAAGGAAGAGGAAATAGTCTTCTCTCAAAGTGATCTTCCCTTTCTGCGAGAAACAAGAAACATTATATCTAATGCTCTTTATTTCTTTTGTAGGTTTTTTATTGTTTTTTATTGATCTCTACATTTTTCTCTGCTCCCCTTCCTGCCTCTCCCCTCCTCTTCAACCCTCTCCCAAGGTCCCCATGCTCCCAATTTACTAGGGAGATCTTGTCTTTTCCTAATTCCCATGTAGATTAAATCCATGTAAGTCTCTCTTAGTATCCACATTGTTGTCTAGGTTCTCTGGGATTGTGATTTGTAGCCTGGTTTTCTTTGCTTTGTGTTTAAAAATCACTTATGAGTGAGTACATGTGATAATTTTCTTTCTGGGTCTGGATTATCTCACTCAAAATGATGTTTTCTAGCTCTATCCATTTGCCTGCAAATTCCAAGATGTTATTTTTTTCTGCTATGTAGTACTCCATTGTTTTCCTTATCCATTCTTCAGCCAAGGGTCATTTAGGTTGTTTCCAGGTTCTGATTATAACAAATAATGCTGCTATAAACAGCATTGAGCACATGTCCTTGTGGCACGATTGATCATCCTTTGGATATACACCCAAAAGAGGTATTGCTGGGTCTTGAGGAAGGTTGTTTCCTAATTTTCGGAGAAATTACCATATTGATATGCAGATAGGCTGTGCCAGCTTGCATTCCCGCCAGCAATACAGGAGTATTATGTTTAGTGTTTTGATTATTATGTATCAAGGGGATTTTTTTCTGATCCAGTCTGTTTGGTGTTCTGTAAGCTTCTTGTATCTTCACAGGCATATCTTTCTTTAGGTTGGGAAAGTTTTCTTCTATGATTTTGTTAATTATATTTTCTGTGCTTTTGAGTTGAACTTCTCCTTCTTCTATACCTATTATTCTTAGGTTTTGCCTTTTCATGGTATCCCATATTTCCTGGATATTTTTGGTTAAGCTTTTGTTAAATTTAATGTTTCCTTTGACTGATGAGTTTATTTTCTCTATTGTATCTTCATTGCTTGAGATTCTCTCTTCCATCTCTTGTATTCTGCTTGCATTTTTGGTTCCTGATTATTTTCTCATGATTTCTGTTTCTATAATTCTTTTGACTTGTGTTTTATTTATTGTCTCTATTTCAGTTTTCAAGTCTTGAATAGTTTCTTTCATATGTTTGATTGCTTTTTCTTGGTTTTCTTTAAGGGATTTGCTGATGTCTT